CAGTGGAGGATTATGGGACAAAAAATAAATCCACTTGGTTTTCAGACTTGGTACAACCCAAAGTCATCATTCTCTTTGGTTTGCACAACCTAAAAATTATTCCGAGGGTCTACAAGAAGATAAAAAAATAAGAGACTATATCAAGAATTATGTACAAAAAAATATGAGAATATCTTCCGGTGTCGAGGGAATTGCACGTATAGAGATTCAAAAAGGAATTGATCTAATTCGGGTCATAATCTATATGGGATTTCCTAAATTATTAATTGAAGATAGGCCGCGAAAACTCAAAGAACTACAGATGAATGTGCAAAAAGAACTTAATTGTATGAACCGAAAACTCAAGATTGCTATTACAAGAATTGCAAATCCTTACGGGCACCCTAATATTCTTGCCGAATTTATAGCCGGACAATTAAAGAATCGAGTTTCATTTCGAAAAGCAATGAAAAAGGCTATTGAATTAACTGAGCAAGCAGATACAAAAGGAATTCAAATACAAATTGCAGGGCGTATCGACGGAAAAGAAATTGCGCGTGTCGAATGGATCCGGGAAGGTAGGGTTCCTCTACAAACGATTGGAGCGAAAATTGAGTATTGCTCCTATAGAGTTCGAACTATCTATGGGGTATTAGGAATCAAAATTTGGATATTTATAGATATTTATAGATGAAGAATAATAAGAATAAGACTCTACTTGTCTTTACGTTCTATTCTGCGATAGAACAAAAAATGACAAATTCTTTCATTTTTTTATGTTCAATAAAAAAATGAGCAGTTCTAAATTCTATATTCTATAAGGTTAAATAAAAATTTGATTGATCATTTGATATAATTGCTATGCTTAGTGTGCGACTCGTTGGGTTTTTAGGCTTAGGATTCAAAAAAAAAAATGGGCGAACCACAGTATAAGTTAATAACTATAGCACTAATAACCAACTCATCGCTTCGGATTATCTGGATCCAAAGAATCAGTCAAGATATGATATATTGGTCATATCATTATAGCAACTGAAATCTTTTTTTTTGCATTAAGTTAAGTAAAAAAAAACCAATCTGATTATGAATATATCTAAATTGTGAAGCAAAATAAAAAAGTATGTGGATAAATAGAAGGATGAGAGAAAGAGAGAAAAAGAAATAGAAATGAAATGATATATGATTCCAATATGTAAGGTCTACGAAGCATCTCATAAAGAGCAATGTAATAGAGCATCAATAGAGATTCATCAATAATTAGATGAATATCTGTTCATCGAAGAAAAAATCAAGAGCCTTAAGTCAATAAAGACTGAGAAGGTTGACTAAAGAACAAATTAACAAATTTTTTTATTAAATATTATTTATTAAATATTAAATTTTTATTTTTATTAAATATTAAATTTTTATTAAATATTAAATTAAGGCTCCATTGGAGAATTCAGACCTAAGCATTAATCGAGAAGCGATGGGGACGACGGAACCCGTGAATGCAGAGGATTCTATTGAAAACGAATCCTAATGATTTATCGGGTAGGATGGCGGAACAAACCAGAGACCACTTCATTTCTTTTTATTCTGTTCTGATTCTGAGAGGTCATGAGTTAACCCGACAACTGAAATAGATATTGAAAGAGTAAATATTCGCCCGCGAAAATTTTATTTTCATTTTAAAAATTTTATTTTCATTTTTTTTTTTATTTTCATTTTAAAAATTTTATTTTCATTTTATTTGATTGTTAAATTTTTGTCGATCCGAGATGAATATGATAAAAAAAGACAAAACAAAATAAAGATTCGTTATAACATTATAACAAAAACAAGATAAGACATTATCTATAAATAGAATCCATGTTTAATTACTTATATATATATCCAATATATATCCAAACAAGATATACAAATTTATAATAGATCAGATAAAATCTCAAATAGATCAGATAAAATCTCAAAGCAAAGAATCCCAGGATTCAATCTATTATTCAGTAACTACCTATATATCTTAAGAATAAAATAAAATATTTTTTAGTCATTTTTTTCGCGAGGAGCTGGATGAGAAGAAACTCTCATGTCCAGTTCTGTAGTAGAGATGGAATTAATAAACAACCATCAACTATAACCCAAAAAGAACCAGATTTCGTAACCAACATAGAGGAAGAATGAAAGGAATATCTTATCGAGGTAATCGCATTTGTTTCGGTAGATATGCTCTTCAAGCACTTGAACCCGCTTGGATTACATCTAGACAAATAGAAGCGGGGCGCCGCGCAATGACACGAAATGTACGCCGTGGTGGAAAAATATGGGTACGTATATTTCCAGACAAACCAGTTACGGTAAGATCTACAGAAACACGTATGGGTTCGGGGAAAGGATCTCCCGAGTATTGGGTAGCTGTCGTTAAACCGGGCAGAATACTTTATGAAATGAGCGGAGTAGCCGAAAATATAGCAAGAAAGGCTATTTCAATAGCGGCGTCCAAAATGCCTATAAAAACTCAATTCATTATTTCAGGATAGGAATATAGAACCAAAGGAAAGAAGTCTTGGGAATAAAAAAAACAATTGCGGGTTTCCTTTTTTTTTTTTTTTGACAAACAATATTTCTTTTTTTCTTCGTCCTTTGTTCCATTGAAAGAAGAGATTAAAAAAAATGATTCAACCTCAGACCCATTTGAATGTAGCAGATAACAGCGGGGCCCGAGAATTAATGTGTATTCGAGTCATAGGAGCTAGTAATCGCCGATATGCTCATATTGGTGACGTTATTGTTGCTGTGATCAAGAAAGCAGTACCAAAGGCACCTCTAGAAAGATCAGAAGTGATCAGAGCTGTAATTGTACGTACTTGTAAAGAACTCAAACGCGACAACGGTATGATAATACGATATGATGACAATGCTGCAGTTGTCATTGATCAAAAAGGAAATCCAAAAGGAACTCGAATTTTTGGTGCGATCGCCGGGGAATTGAGACAGTTAAATTTCACTAAAATAGTTTCATTAGCTCCTGAGGTATTATAAGACGAGACCTCAATTCAATATAGTTATAGTATTTAAATTAGAGTATTTAAATGACATAGATTAATTAGTAGATTGTGTCTCACGTATATACCTTTACTAAGTAAAAAAAAAAAAGAACATGTTGGTTATATCAAAATTCGGGAGCAACAATAATTTTAGTTTACCATGGGTAAGGACACTATTGCTGACATAATAACTTCTATACGAAATGCTGACATGAATAGAAAAGGAACGATTCGAATAGGATCTACTAACATCACTGAAAACATTGTTAAAATACTTTTACGAGAAGGTTTTATCGATAACATAAGGAAACATCGGGAAAGAAACAAATATTTTTTGGTTTTAACCCTACGGCATAGAAGGAATAGGAAAGGACCATATAGAACTATTTTAAATTTACGACGGATCAGTCGACCCGGTCTACGAATCTATTCTAACTATCAACAAATTCCTAGAATTTTAGGCGGGATGGGGATTGTAATTCTTTCTACTTCTCGGGGTATAATGACAGACCGGGAGGCTCGACTAGAAGGAATCGGCGGAGAAAATTTTGTGTTATATATGGTAATCTGTCTAACATCCGAATTGTATCCGAATCCGAAACTTTCCATTTGTGAAAAAAAAAGCACGGGTTGTCTAATAGAACTCCTCCTGCCCTACAGTAGTTGATACGTCAAGGAAGTTTTACCTGGAATAAAAGAACAAAAATGGATTCATGGAGGTTTAATTAGTGAATCACGTCCACTCCAGATTCCTTTAGATAATGAAGATCTGATTCTAGGTTATGTTTCAGGAAGGGTCCGATCGAGTTTTATACGTATACCACCGTGGGATAGAGTCAACAAAAGTGAAGTAAGTGCTTATGATTCAACCAGGGGGCGTATAATTTATAGACTCCGCAACAAGGATTCGAACGATTAGGTAGTTTTTTCAACTTCAAGATTCCTTTCAGGGGGATCCAATTCAAGGTTCAAAAATTTCAAGAAACTTATTTTCTTCCAATAAGTAGATTCGGAAAAATTTAAGGAATAACAACTATGAAAATAAGGGCTTCCGTTCGTAAAATTTGTGAAAAATGTCGACTAATCCGTAGGAGGGGACGAATTGTCGTAATTTGTTCCAACCCGAGACATAAACAGAGACAAGGATAATCTTTCTATTCTAAAAAGAACTCCTTAAAGTTAAAGAAAAGAAACTAATCTTAAAGAAAGCGATGAACAAATAAAAATAGAAGATCTGTTTTGACATGAAATGGATATATCCATATATCTCTGACTTATCCTTATGAAATGATAAAATATGGCAAAACCTATACCAAAAGTTGGTTCACGTAGGAATGGGCGCAGTAGTGCACGGAAAAGTGCACGTAGAATACCAAAAGGAGTTATTCATGTTCAAGCAAGTTTCAACAATACCATTGTTACTATTACAGATGTACGGGGTCAGGTAATTTCTTCTTCCTCCGCCGGTACTTGTGGATTCAAGGGTCCAAGAAGAGGGACTCCTTTTGCTGCTCAAACCGCAGCGAGAAATGCTATTCGAGCAGTAGTAGACCAAGGTATGCGACGAGTGGAAGTTCTGATAAAAGGTCCTGGTCTCGGAAGAGATGGAGCATTACGAGCTATTCGTAGAAGTGGTATACTATTAAGTTTCGTACGGGATGTAACCCCTATGCCACATAATGGCTGTAGACCTCCTAAAAAAAAACGTGTGTAGAAATAAACACTAAAGAGATTTCAAGAGAAATAAATGATTCAATGATCTGATCAAATAAAATAATATTACTATGGTTCGAGAGAAAGTAAAAGTCTCTACTCGGACACTGCAGTGGAAGTGTGTTGAATCAAGAACAGATAGTAAGCGTCTTTATTATGGACGCTTTATTCTGTCTCCACTTATGAAAGGCCAAGCCGACACAATAGGCATTGCGATGCGAAGAGCTTTGCTTGGAGAAATAGAAGGAACATGTATTACACGTGCAAAATCTGAGAAAATAC